GCATCACAGTTTTTGAAATTTGATTCCGTAGTCTTATTTGCCTCCCAGTCATTACGTAGATTAAATGTCTAAAGTTTTTGACGTGCTACTATCGTTATGGTATCCTAGTAATAGAGCGAATACGCACTCTCTGGTAAACGTTTAGTGGGGTATCAACCCGTTTCGTCTAAACAATTTAAACAGGTAAACAGTAGCTATTAGACAACCCAGGTAAAGTCAGGGATGAGTGTCTTTGCTAGTTAGACGATGTAGGCATGTGGATCAACCCATTTTACTGTGAACAGGGATGCACGAAATTCGAACAAAGGGGACATATTTTTTTCATTCATTCATTAATGTATATATCTTAGTACTTTAAAGGCGCCACAAGCATGTGGGGGCGTGAGTGTGTGTGGGGTGTGTGTGTGTGTGTGTGTGTGGGGGGGGGGGGGGGGGGGGGGGTATGTGTGTGTGTGTGTGTGGTGTGTGTGTGTGTGTGGGGGGGGGGGGGGGGGGGGGGGGTCGAATAGGCCCCCTAGCTGCTGAAACGTTGGATTATTTACTCTGGTGTGAATTCTTTTACTTCAGTGGCCAGAAAAATTAGCCATCACTGTAAATGACATGTCAAATTATATTATACGGGTCTTGGATAAAACATAATTTCTGTTTGACTTTGCCCAATGTAGTGCTGCTCTCTTCGTTTTAAGATTGATAAATATAGTAAAGCTCTATTCGTTTTGACATTGACCAATGTAGTACAGCTCTCTTCGTTTTGACACTGACCAATGTAGTACAGCTCTCTTCGTTTTGACATTGACCAATGTAGTACAGCTCTCTTCGTTTTGACATTGACCAATGTAGTACAGCTCTCTTCGTTTTGTCATTGACCAACATAGTACAGCTTTATTCGTTTTGACATTGACCAACATAGTACAGCTCTCTTCGTTTTAACATTGACCAACATAGTACAGCTCTCTTCGTTTTGACATTGACCAATGTAGTACAGCTCTCTTCGTTTTGTCATTGACCAACATAGTACAGCTTTATTCGTTTTGACATTGACCAACATAGTACAGCTCTCTTCGTTTTAACATTGACCAACATAGTACAGCTCTCTTCGTTTTGACATTGACCAATGTAGTATAGCTTTCTTCGTTTTGACATTGACCAACATAGTACAGCTCTCTTCGTTTTGTCATTGTCCAATGTAGTACAGCTTTCTTCGTTTTGACATTGACCAACATAGTACAGCTTTCTTCGTTTTGTCATTGTCCAATGTAGTACAGCTCTCTTCGTTTTGACATTGACCAACATAGTACAGCTCTCTTCGTTTTGTCATTGTCCAATGTAGACCAGCTCTCCTCGTTTTGACATTGACCAACGTAGTACAGCTCACTTCGTTTTGTCATTGTCCAATGTAGTACAGCTTTCTTCGTTTTGACATTGACCAACATAGTACAGCTCTCTTCGTTTTGACATTGACCAACATAGTACAGCTTTCTTTGTTTTGACATTGTCCAATGTAGTACAGCTTTCTTCGTTTTGACATTGACCAACAAAGTACAGCTCTCTTCGTTTTGACATTGACCAACATAGTACAGCTTTCTTTGTTTTGACATTGTTCAATGTAGACCAGCTTTCTTCGTTTTAACATTGACCAACATAGTACAGCTCTCTTCGTTTTGACATTGACCAACATAGTACAGCTCTCTTCGTTTTGACATTGACCAACATAGTACAGCTCTCTTTGTTTTGACATTGACCAATGGAGTACAGCTTTCTTCGTTTTGACATTGACCAACATAGTACAGCTCTCTTCGTTTTGACATTGACCAACATAGTACAGCTTTCTTCGTTTTGCCATTGACCAACATAGTACAGCTTTCTTTGTTTTGACATTGTCCAATGTTGTACAGCTTTCTTCGTTTTAACATTGACCAATATAGTACAGATTTTTATTGTTTTGACCTTAACCAACATAGTACAGCTCTCTTTGTTTTGACATTGACCAACATAGTACAGCTCTCTTCGTTTTAACATTGACCAACATAGTACAACTCTCTTCGTTTTGACATTGACCAACGTAGAACAGCTCTCTTCGTTTTGACATTGACCAACATAGTACAGCTCTCTTCGTTTTGACATTGACCAACATAGTACAGCTCTCTTTGTTTTGACATGACTATTTCATTGCATGTACTTATTTTGGTACAATTGACACATGATAATGCAGAATTAATTTTTAACAACCTGTGTCTATTGATGTATATGGTCTGTGCCTATTGAACATAAACACACTTCAATTAGTGCACGGTAAGAAAAAGTTGGAATCAATTCTTATTCATTTCCAGCACGAACAATCTGTGTTTCTTTATCTAGCTCGCAATGTGTTTGTGAAACATGTATGACTAATGTATTTGTGTATTTTTAAAATCTACTTGATATTGGACCATTTACGTATTGAACGATTAAAACGGTTCTATTGTGTAACTATTGCTAAAACGGATCGATCGTTTCACTGTAAAAAAGGAAAAATCACATTTAATATTGTAAAAGGAAGGCTACTGGTAGACGATTGTAAAATAGGTACTGTTGTTTTATTGTGGTAGAAACGGAAGACATCACAGTTTACTAATTGTAAAAAAAGATAAATTGTTTTATTATTGTGAAAAGGGAACTATTGTTTTATGATTGTAAAAACGGAAATACCCCATGTTACTATTGCGAAAAGGATCTATTTGTATGTTTGTAAAACAGATCTATTGTTTTATGATTGTAAAACCGTGAAACGCTTCTTAAAATGCCAATGGGAGCCCTTTTAAGTTGTAATAAAATGTACGCTGACTTTGTATTTCACTTTCCAAAATCAACCTAAGAAAAAGTATCTAGATACTGGGGATTCTACTCGCCGCCGGAATACAACGCCAATATCTGCATGGACGTCAACACGCCGACCTACGACTGAAACCAATAAAATACCCTGGGTAGTCGAAACTAGACACTGTCCTTGGGGCTTTACTACAGTGGCTTGTGCGCACTCACATCTGAGACCGGTTGCAAATTCAGCTTGTCAGAGAAACTAGCGCAGCCATCAGATTTTATTTGAAGTCATTTGTGTCCGCTAACTCAGCGAGTACAGAATTAACTGTACACTCGAGCTACAAGTAAATTCTATATATTCTATATACTAGTATATGGGATGGGAGTGAAGCATATAAATAATTTAAGGGATCTTAATAATATATTTTTATTAAAAAAATGTCACACATTCTCTGTACATTCATGTTTATGACTGTAAAATCGGAACGATTGTTTTACTACTGTAAACAAGGAAAAATCACATTTACTCGTGTAAAACAGATGAATTGTTTTATTATTGTGAAAAGGGAACTATTGTTTTATGATTGTAAAAACGGAAATAGCCCATTTCACAAATGAGAAAAGGATCTATATATTTTTATGCTTGTAAAAACGGATCTATTGTTTTATTATAAAAAACTGAACAGCCGTAATCACTGAAACATCATGTTATTATTACAAAATCGGATCTATTGTTTTACGTTTGTAAAACCGTGAAACCCTTCCTAAGATTCTAATGGGCGGCATTTTAAGTTGTAATAAAATACACGCTATGACTTGGTATCTCACTTAATAAAATCAACTAAAGAAAAGTTATATAGATACTGGGAATTCTACTCGCCGACGGAATACAATGCTAATATCTGTCTGACAGAAATGTAGACGCACACACGTTTCTCATGATTGCTTGTGTAACGAGGTCATATACGACATGAATGTATAATAGCAATGTGTCGTCTCTACAAACAAGTGCTGTAGCCGGAGTCTTAACACCATGCTTCAATACACAGGAGGTGAGGTGAGGTGAAATTGGGTTTAACGTCGCGTCCAAGATTATTGCACTTATATAGCGACGTGCATGCACGTGTATGTGTGTGTGTGGCTGCTTGTACTAGTCCGGACTGATGCCGATTTATAGTGCTAGCTCACTGAGATACAGTGCCGCAGTTTAACATGACCACCCCACTCAGACACAGTATACTGACTCCGAGCCGACCAGTCCTTGTTTTAGCCCCTTAATGCCGAGCGCCAGACAGGGTAACAACAAGTACAATCTTTTAACGTCTTTTTGTATGACGCGGCCCGGGATCGAACCCCGGACCTTCCGCTCTCCGGGCGGACGCTCTACCACAAGACCACGGAGGCGGTCTCAATACACAGGAGAAACAGAAGTAAGAAGGCGGCCTCCAATACTTCATTTTACGGCTCGGTGAACACAACACGTGTTACACGCAATGACAGCCGACAGTGTATTAATGGTTCGTAGATGAAACTCGAGTCATCACCTCATATATAACTCATCAATGTCCCTACCATTAAGAAATACAGTATAGGTATCGCCTCTTGTCTCTTGATGTGCGTCGTTGCGGCACTTATCGATTGCCGTCTAAATTTAATTTTGATATGAGTTAGGTTCTCTCCTCATTATTATATAAATGAATAAATATATATATATATATATATATATACAGAAACTACGGTTATAACGAACTCAACGGGACCACTAAGTTTAGTTCGTTGTAACCGTAGTTCGTTATAAGCATATATTCAGCATATATACAGCAAATGGCCGGGACTAAACATAAGTTCGTTATATCCGTCAGTTCGTTATAAGCAAATTCGTTATGTCATTGACAAAAAGTAGACTCACGCTAAACAAATCCCCGAATATGTAAATATGTAATGTTTCCCGGACTGACAATTATTTTTTATGAAAGATAATACTGAATAACACCCCTTGCAAGTAATTTCAATGTATTCTATATTCTAGTATATGGGATGGGATTGACACATATAATTAATTTCACGGATATCTATATATCTTCACAAGTAAGGTCTCGTCACACATTCGCTGTACAGTTAGTGACTTGGTGACAAGCCATTATTCCTTCCAGGCCTATATCCTGGGGGTTCTTCTCGTCCCCCCGCCCCGCCACACCTACCTGAAGCTGTGGTTCCTGTATGTCCGATAGAAGAGGCACTTGTCGGTGTTCCGCTCACATAGAACTATGCTAAGTGTGAAGCTATATACTTCATTTTACTGGAGTTTGATTGGTCGATAAGCCGTCAGCATCCTTCCCAGCTGGTGGTGGGAAGTTTAAAGGGAGACTACCGGAATGTCCACTTTGTCAAACCTGAGCAGTCACAGGTGGTCGTGCCTTGGATAGCGACAACGTACCATGTGCTTCAGAGAGAAGAAGCTTACAGTCATGTTACACTTGCTTCATTCTTGGTATACTTTCTACACCCAGTTCAATGCAGACTCGCTTTCCAGAATCAGTGCCTTACTAACACCTACCCGTCTCTGTCTCTGCAGTCAGCCAGTGTCTACTAACACCTACACGTCTCTGTCTCTCCAGTCAGTCAGTGTCTACTAACACTTACCCGTCTCTGTCTCTCCTGTCAGTGTCTACTAACACTTACCCGTCTCTGTCTCTCCAGTCAGTGTCTACTAACACTTACCCGTCTCTGTCTCTCCAGTCAGTGTCTTCTAACACTTACCCGTCTCTGTCTCTCCTGTCAGTGTCTACTAACACCTACCCGTCTCTGTCTCTCCAGTCAGTGTCCACTAACACTTACCCGTCTCTGTCTCTCCAGTCAGTCAGTGTCTACTAACACCTACCCGTCTCTGTCTCTCCAGTCAGTCGGTGTCTACTAACACCTACCCGTCTCTGTCTCTCCTGTCAGTCAGTGTCTACAAACACCTACCCGCCTCTGTCTTTCCAGTCAGTGTCTACTAACACCTACCCGTCTCTGTCTCTCCAGTCAGTGTCTACTAACACCTACCCGTCTCTGTCTCTCCAGTCAGTCAGTGTCTACTAACACCTACCCGCCTCTGTCTCTCCAGTCAGTCAGTGTCTACAAACACCTACCCGCCTCTGTCTCTCCAGTCAGTGTCTACTAACACCTACCCGCCTCTGTCTCTCAAGTCAGTCAGTGTCTACTAACACCTACCCGCCTCTGTCTTTCCAGTCAGTGTCTACTAACACCTACCCGTCTCTGTCTCTCCAGTCAGTCAGTGTCTACTAGCACTTAACCGTCTCTGTCTCTCCAGTCAGTCAGTGTCTACTAACACCTACCCGTCTCTGTCCCTCCAGTCAGTCAGTGTCTACAAACACCTACCCGCCTCTGTCTCTCCAGTCAGTCAGTGTCTACTAACACCTACCCGCCTCTCTGTCTCTCCTGTCAGTCAGTGTCTACTAACAACTACCCGCCTCTGTCTCTCCAGTCAGTCAGTGTCTACTAACACCTACCCGCCTCTGTCTTTCCAGTCAGTCAGTGTCTACTAACACCTACCCGCCTCTGTCTCTCCAGTCAGTCAGTGTCTACTAACACCTACCCGCCTCTGTCTCTCCAGTCAGTCAGTGTCTACTAACACCTACCCGCCTCTGTCCCTCCAGTCAGTCAGTGTCTACTAACACCTACCCGCCTCTGTCTCTCCTGTCAGTGTCTACTAACACCTACCCGCCTCTGTCTCTCCAGTCAGTGTCTACTATCACCTACCCGTCTCTGTCTCTCCAGTCAGTCAGTGTCTACTAACACCTACCCGCCTCTGTCTCTCCAGTCAGTGTCTACTATCACCTACCCGTCTCTGTCTCTCCAGTCAGTCAGTGTCTACTATCACCAACCCGTCTCTGTCTCTCCAGTCAGTCAGTGTCTACTATCACCTACCCGTCTCTGTCTCTCCAGTCAGTCAGTGTCTACTAACACCTACCCGTCTCTGTCCCTCCAGTCGGTCAGTGTCTACTATCACCTACCCGTCTCTGTCTCTCCAGTCAGTCAGTGTCTACTATCACCTACCCGTCTCTGTCTCTCCAGTCAGTCAGTGTCTACTAACACCTACCCGCCTCTGTCTCTCCAGTCAGTCAGTGTCAACTAACACCTACCCGCCTCTGTCTCTCCAGTCAGTCAGTGTCTACTAACACCTACCCGCCTCTGTCTCTCCAGTCAGTCAGTGTCTACTAACACCTACCCGCCTCTGTCTCTCCAGTCAGTCAGTGTCTACTAACACCTACCCGCCTCTGTCCCTCCAGTCAGTCAGTGTCTACTAACACCTACCCGCCTCTGTCTCTCCAGTCAGTCAGTGTCTACTAACACCTACCCGCCTCTGTCTCTCCAGTCAGTCAGTGTCTACTAACACTAACCCGTCTCTGTCTCTCCAGTAAGTGTCTACAAACACCTACCCGCCTTTGTCTCTCCAGTCAGTCAGTGTCTACCAACACCTTCCCGTCTCTGTCTCTCCAGTCAGTGTCTACTAACACCTACCCGCCTTTGTCTCTCCAGTCAGTCAGAGTCTACCAACACCTTCCCGTCTCTGTCTCTCCAGTCAGTGTCTACTAACACCTACCCGTCTCTGTCTCTCCAGTCAGTCAGTGTCTACCAACACCTTCCCGTCTCTGTGTCTCCAGTCAGTCAGTGTCTACTAACACCTACCCGAAGCAGAACATTTTTGTTTGTTCACATGCTGACATTATTGTGTTAGCTTTTAGTCCTCTGTACCTATGCAGAAATATGTGCATATTGTCCCGGGGCTGTGCTCATCAGGCCAGGGTGTAATAATAAGATATAAACGACTTAGAGAAATGAATATTATCAAAGGTTCACAGTTTTATTATTATCAGCTATATGTAATTTAAGACAGGCATCCTGAAGGGTTCACAACCGAAGTGTCAAAACTATTTTATGCACAAGGACCGACCCATCCAACGGCTAAGTTGTAGTGTCGGAATGTTCAGTACCGACCTATCGAAAAGCCCCGGTTCGGGAATCAGTGCATTAAACTCTACTGTCGAAAATATGAAGGACCAGAAGAGATCACCAAATCAATTAGAGCTACCGATTTAACCCAGGCTTCATCTTCTCTTCTCTTTCCTTAATATGATAAAAGTAAAACAAAAGTAAAAATATACAGAGTTTTAAGACCAAAGTGAGATGAAGTTAGAGCGGAAATAAGATAAAAGTTTACTTAATCTTGTCTCTAGCTTATTGTAAGTGTAACGATAAAAGACTAGAACATGGTAAATGAGTTCACCCAAATTTCATAACGGCTAATGCGCAACTTCAGATCATCCTTCCAGGGAATTCTTATGGAGTTTATTCTCGTTGCTTCGATTTTTTTTATAATTTTCTCGCAACTTCTATTGTTTTCGAGTTTTTTTAAAAAAAACAACGAAATTACGAGAAAATAATCGAAGTAACGAGAAAATAATTGAAATGATGAGAAAATAATTGAAGAAATAAGAAAATCGAAATTTCGAGTTTTTTAAAATAAACTCGAGGTAGCGAGAAAGAACTCGAGGAAACGAGAAATTATTTAAATAACGATAACTTATATGGTAACAAAGTGGCATCATTAGGCTTTCGTACCAGAGAAGAAACTACCCCCATCAACCGAATCAAAGACGACAAGCTCATCACGATGAGAGGCGATACAGACAACATGCCTGACAACCTACCCCAGAACATAGCGATGTTCGAATACATGAACACCATCATGTACCGGGGCAGACACGAGAACATTACGTGTGCTACATTAATTCAGTAAATTAAAAGTGGCAATGTATGTAGATGTCTTGTTTTCTTTATACTACGCCGAACTCCCGAAGGAACTTAATGCAACGATCGTCAAGCGACACCGAACTAGCGAAGGAACTTAATGCAACGATCGTCAAGCGACACCGAACTAGCGAAGGAACTTAATGCAACGATCGTCAAGCGACACCGAACTGCCGAAGGAACTTAATGCAATGATCCTCAAGCGAACCCGAACTGTCGAAGGAACTTAATGCAGTGATCCTCAACCGACACCCAACTCCCGGAGGAACTTAATGCAATGATCCTCAAGCGAACCCGAACTGTCGAAGGAACTTAATGCAGTGATCCTCAACCGACACCCAACTCCCAAAGGAACTGAATGCAATGATCCTCAACCGACACCCAACTCCCGGAGGAACTTAATGCAATGATCCTCAAACGAACCCGAACTGTCAAAGGAACTTAATACAGTGATCCTCAACCGACACCCAACTCCCAAAGGAACTGAATGCAATGATCCTCAAGCGAACCCGAACTGCCGAAGGAACTTAATGCAATGATCCTCAAGCGAACCCGAACTGTCGAAGGAACTTAATGCAGTGATCCTCAACCGACACCCAACTCCCAAAGGAACTGAATGCAATGATCCTCAAGCGAACCCGAACTGCCGAAGGAACTTAATGCAATGATCCTCAAGCGAACCCGAACTGTCGAAGGAACTTAATGCAGTGATCCTCAACCGACACCCAACTCCCAAAGGAACTGAATGCAATGATCCTCAAGCGACACCGAACTGCCGAAGGAACTTAATGCAATGATCCTCAAACGAACCCGAACTGTCAAAGGAACTTAATACAGTGATCCTCAACCGACACCCAACTCCCAAAGGAACTGAATGCAATGATCCTCAAGCGAACCCGAACTGCCGAAGGAACTTAATGCAATGATCCTCAACCGACCCCGAACTGTCGAAGGAACTTTATTTTTAGATTTTCGACACTTCTATCGACACCATCTAAAGAGCTAAGACCCCAATTGTCACAAACAAAGATCACTGATAAATCAACAACCAACGAATACACAAGCTCGTTACTATAGCAACTGTAAACCAGCTATTGTAAAGATAGCAAAATCCACATGCTGACAAGACCATCGTCAAGACGCATAGGCAGCCAATTAATTAACTCCGCACTCTCATATGAGTGTGTAACCTCGGCTTAGCAAGATTGGGAGAAATTGACAAAGTTTTGTTTGTTTGTTGTTTAACGCCGCACTCAGCAATTTTCCAGCTATGACGGCGGTCTGTCCATAATTGAGTCTAGACCAGACAATCCAGTAATTGATATCTTGATATTCCACGCAATTGGAATACGATGACATGCATCAACTACGTCAGCGAGCCTGACCACCCGATCCCGTTAGTCGCCTCTTACGACAAGCATGTTGCTTAAGACCTATTCTACCCCGGATCTTCAAGGGGTCAATTGA